ACCTTTTCGCCTTTCTTTTTTTTAGTGTTTTGTCCTTCCTTCTTGTCTATTTACGTCTTTTGGCTTTCATCTTTTTTCCTCCTCACTCTTATACCACTTTTTTTTTGTTGCTTTCACCTCTCTAATATCTTGTCCATTTTAATATGCACTTTGTTAAATTATTTTTACTGTTTTTAAGTTGTCTTTGCTCAAGAAATTATTTTTGTTGCTTTCCTCGCTTTTTCATTCTTATCATTTTTCTTATTAATACACTTTCTTTTTTCTCCTTTTTCCAATGTGATCCCCATAAAACTTTTTCTCTAATTGTCATGTTGATATGTATGTAAAAAACAATTCGTTTCTAATGAATTTCCCCCTCCCCTTTTTTCCCTTGCTTTTTACTTTTTTCCTTAATTTTTTTCCCTCCCTTCTTTTCTATTTAAATTCTTTTGCCCTTTATTTTTTTGTTCCTCATTTTTCTACTACTTATTTTTTGTTGCTTTTCAAACTTGTTACACTCTTTTCCTAATCTACTATGACTAAAATAAATTTTCTCAAATATACAAATGCCAAATTTTTTTTCCTTGTAGTCATTTTTTCTCCTGTCATACAACATTAATAAATTTTTTTATATGTATCTCATAAATTATTTATTATCTAATTTTCCCGTTTCTAATTATAAATATGTTCTCCACGAAACCTTTTTTTTTCTTACAAACTCAACTACTACGAGAGTAATAAATGAGTACAATTAAATTTTAGAAGAAAATGTACAAGATTTTAATATCTAAAAAATGCAAGAAATGCACGCGAGAGGCGCATTCTAATAACTAGTATTTTGAAAAATTGCAATAGTTCTCTAGAGTTTTTTAAAAACTTTCCCAAATTTTGACTTTTTTAAGTATAATCATATAATTAGGTGATTGCAAGAACATTATTCTTTTTAATAAAAATAACATTTATTCTTAAACATGATGAACATATTATGTATTCGTTTTCAATTATGGAAAAATTTCATTTTAGTACTTGTGTTATATCAAAATATGAGTTTAGCATTCTCTGCTTTCAAAAATTTCTTGTCAGTACCTCAGCCTTTTACAAATCTTTTTTTAGTACATTGGAGTCCTTTTTTGGACATAAAAGGACAAAATTACCTTTCTTATAAAATGTTGACCAAAATTTTGAGTTAAAAAAAAAAAAAAACTCTTTAAGCAATGTTATGCCTACAACCAAACACCCAAAGATCCTTAAAAGAACATGCTTCTTTCTTTTTTGGGTCAACATTTTTTAAAAAGTTTTTTTTTAACTCAAAATTATGGTCAACATTTTATAAGAAGGGTAATATTATTTTTTTGTGTCCAAAAAGGGGTTCTGAGGTACTGAAAAAATATTTTATAAAAGGTCAAAGTACCAACATAAAATTTTATAAAAACAGAGAGTATTAAACTCATATTTTGATATAATACAAAGTATTAAAATGAAATTTTCTATTCAATTATTTATCAAGTAAATAAGAGTTTTATTTAGTAAATAGTGTTACATTTACGTAGGCTGTAGTATTATTAACTCGATAATAGATATCATTTTACTATAATTAAGAAATTTATTAATTTAATTGTGATTATTATTAGGTAAATAATGAAATTATATAATAATTTGGGGCCCGTTTAGTTTGCTGATTTGAGTTTTTAATTCGAGTTGAGATGTGATTTTATGTGAGAGCATTTTACTGTAGCAAAAAAGTTAGATATTACTATTTCTGAGAGCTTTTTACTATAACAAAACTCGAATTCTAAACTCGAATCGGTGAAATGAACGGAGTCTTGATAATTCAACCCACAAAAAAATAATGAGATGCAAGTTAGATCTACAAAGGAGAAGGGCCTTAAGAGAAACGGTGCTCGAGGATCGAGGCTCAACTCGACACAAAGAAGTTACCCTAAGTGGCGTAGTTTCATGCCGACAGAGGGTACTTGAGCTAACAGCGACACCCAAAGATCAAAGGACTCTTCTCCACTTAAAAAAAAAAGAAAAAAGAAAACAAAAACTGTCGCAGAGGAAAAGTAAATTAACCATAAAAAGATTCATGACCTCTTGATTTATAAGTTAGAATAAAAATTTAAATTTTTATAAAAGAAAATACTGTTGTAAATGTTGAAATCAACACCGGGAGTTGAGGTGTTATACAACCAACACCGAATGAGTAGTGCAGTTATACAACACACATCCGGATGAGTAGAAATATTATAATCTTACTCTAGAGGTGTGGTAGTGTTATACCACCCTATGTGCTATTATTTAACCAAAATAAGTGGTAGTATTTTACTCTTTGCATGCTCATAAATTTGAAAGCCAACCTCAACTATATATAAATAGAGCTACGGTGTTGCACGGCAAATTGGAGTGAAATATATATATATATATATATATTTTATATATATATATATATAGTGTTATGTGTGAGAGTGCTGGAGACGTTTAGTTCATGAATTAGAATCATGTGATTAGAATTATTTTCGATTTACGTGTATTTTTTGTGAGAGAAAACACTGTAACGAACTATAAACCATGATTCAAATCATGGTTTGAATCCTCCAACTAAATACCCCATTAGTATTTAGCTTGTGTCTTAACTACTTTTTTTATTCTTTAGAAAAATAAAAAAAAATAAAAAAAACTACTTCTCCTTTTTTATGTTTTCTATTTTAGAGGATTTGGTACTTTATAGTGATCTTGGTATAATAAATGTTAGGATTTTTAATTCTACGTCGTACAAATCTTCCTACTTGACATTTATGGTTCGCGTGAGATTTGTGCATTGATGTTGACATTCTTGTATCAAAATTATTTTAATTATTTGTTACTTGTTTTAACAATGTTTCCTTATTAGTTGATTGCAATTTGGTTGGTTTGTTTTCATAATAGCCCGATTCACTTGGATAATAAGATTATGTTGGTTATCATCACAGGTTGATTTTTTGATTCTTTTGCAAGAATGAATTGCTGATTATATATGAGATAATATTTTTGATTTGCTTATCAAAAATTTATCTCATCTATTTTCTGTAATTTCTTAGAATTTCGAATTTTGAGAAATTGTTCCTTGTGCATAATTGTGTCTATGTTCATTTAGGATCAATTCAATCATTAACAATATTTTTCTGGACATTTCTTTTAGGATTTTTCTAATTAATTTCGGATTTGATTGAAATCATGATTGAATGCATTTTTGTTATCAAATCACGAGTTGTCTGTCTAGATTGTATTGGCAGCTGCAAGATCAGAAATTCTATTCACACAATGACAGGTGAATTCAATGAAGCGATTACATTAGAAATTCATGAGAAGATCGCAATCAAAGCTCAACCCTGATCAAGTGGGGAGATCCTAGGCATTTCTTATATCCGGGTTCATTATATGAAAAGGTCACCTTGTGACCTTTGAGGTATAGAGCACGGACAAAATTTGAATGTTCATTTTGTGAGAGAAAAATTGAGTGTTCTCCTTTGTGCTTAAGAGTGAGAGATATCCATAACTTTTGTTAGGTTTCATTTGTAACTCTCAAACCCTATAGTCTGTGGATTTTGTGAGGATCAAGAGTAGGTCCGAGGAGGAGCTGAATGCGGATCGTTGCGCTTGGAGTTAGTTAGGACGACTGAAGGCGAGCATCGTGCTTGGAGTACGTCAGGAGGACCGAAGGCGAGTAAAAGACTTTGAGTAAGGTAAAGAGTCTGAAGGCGAGTCAAGAGGAGTCACTGTGAGTTAAGAATTGGTGTAGATTCGAGTGGTTTCTTGTACCAAGCTTTTTAATTGCATTTAGTGATAGTGAAATCTTCTTTGTGCTGGTGTGATCAGCACACGTGGTTTTTACCTGAAAAGGTTTTTGGCTACGTTAAATAACCATATCACTGTGTTCATTTGATTATTCTACATTTTACTTCACATAATTTTTTATTTCTGTTTAAAGATGGTTGATTTAATCATTTTATCCATTCAGAACGCCATTATTGTGTTTGTCTGGTCTAACAATAACAATATATAATTAGAAGTTATTTTCTTCTATTTCCCATTTTTGGGTTCAAAACAAAGAGATTTGAAACTAAGCAGTGGCAACAATTACTTAAAGGTGGTTCTATATGCACCCCATTTTTACTCTCCACACTCCTCTTAAATTAAAAATTTCTAATTATGAAAACACCTTAAAATAAAATGACAAAAAAGGACAATAGATTTAATTATATAATTGAATTTTATTACATAAGGGAAACTAATGATAGAGGGCGTTTTTTTTTTCTCCACACACTCTTAATATCATATTGACAAATTATAAATTATTTCTATTTTAAACATCTAGAGCAAAACCCTATTGTCTACCTTTCAACCATTATTCTAAAAAATTACATGGAGGTATGTTAATTTTTTTTATGGAGAGATATGTTAAATTTTCTTTGTTATTGTTTTTCATTTTGTATTTATATTTGTATACTAATCAATTTTTTAAGCTAATCGTTTTATTTATTTATTTATTGTAAATATTCCCAAGTAGTCGAAGATGTAATGGTAAAATTTTCATGCATAAATGGTTTCTTTTTTTTTTTTTTCCTTTTTTTTTATCTTAAAGGTTTCCTTAAAAAAAAAAAGCTTCATGCAATTACAAAACAACAGACAGTAAATAAAAGTTGCTTTGGGAACATTTTCTATTCACTCTCTTCCTGGTTTTGTGCTAGTTGATCTACTGGAGTGGAGTGCATCTGATTAGCAGCTCCTGGTTGTTTTCTTGGCCAAACTACTCCATTCTTTGAGCTTAAATTGTGTTTAACCAACCACATTATGTCATATCATTGAAAAGATTTAAAATGCATTTTAATTGACTATTTTATGCTTTAATATTTCAATCCATTTAATCACGTGTCATACGGTGATTGGTTAAGCACCATTTGAGATAGTAAAAATCGGACAGGTGATTTGAATCCCTAATAATACAAAAAGCAGTATTATTTATAAGGCAAAGAAGTTACAAGTCACTAATTCTTATTAGAACTGCATGGTTAACTCCGGCGAAACCAGTCGGTCCAAGACCCGTCACTTTTAACCCGGGTCTGGCCCGGACCTCTGAGTCAGACTGGGCCAAGGTTTTGAGCCCAAAACCTAATACAGACTAGGCCGAGTGGGCATGAACATCTTTGTTTTTTTTAAAAATAAAAAATTGAAAATGCTTTATTATAACATTCTAAGCAATCGGGATTTAAAGTCAGGTTAGGCCGATCCTCCCATCTTTAGGGTCGACTAAGCCCGAAATTTTTCATTTGGGCTGCTGGGCCTGCCTCTAATTCTTATGATCCAAGAAGGTAGCTCCTTAACATAGTACGAACTTTATTAAAAAATACGTAGATGACATACAACGTTAAGCACACAAGCTAGAAAAATACAGACACACATTATTATAGTTATTATATATATGTATATATATATATAATTCTTGTGCGCCATATAACACATGGCCTTAGAGTTTAGAAGTTAAGGACTCCCTGAGTTCTCTCCGGAGGATTTTTCCGGCCGGAGATTTGGGTATCGAATTTGTAAATACCACCTTTCTGATCTTCTTGTACGGTGCAACCTGCCAACACAGACATCTATGTATACTAAGCAAGCATGTGTACGTAGAACCCTAGTGTGAAAAAGAATGAAAACTTTGGAAAGTGAACGCTTGAAACAAAAAATTAAAAGAAAAAAACAAATCATGGCACTTCTTTTGAGGCTAAAGTAGTACTAAAAAAAAAAAAGGACATTTTTAACTTTCAATGATCGTTTTATAATTAAAGTATCTTATGATAGTTTAATTAGCTGTTTTATTCTTTAGATTTGAAGTAGATACTGTACACACGTTTTTCTAATTTTTGCAATGTTACCTCAAATCAAAATGATCAAGTTGTAATGCTAAAACCTAGAAGTTTTTTTTTTTTTTTTTTTTTTTTTTTTTTTTTTTTTTAAATAAAAAATAAAAAGTTGTAGATGTGAAACCAAAAAATTTTTTTTTTTTTTTTTTTTTTTTTTTTTTTTTTTTAATAATTACAATATTAAGGGTTACTTCTATTATTATGCGAAAATTTTTCATGATGCTTATTATTACTCAACACGAATACAACAGAAAAATATAAATAATAAATAATAAATAATAAAAGAGTACCTGTCGAGCCACATGGTTTATGACATCTTCATGGCAAAGCGAGCTTCCCTGCTTCCTAACCACAAATGCCACCGGTATCTCCCCACAATCTTCATCCATGACACTAGATATATAAAAGCAGATTAAAAAAAAATTTGCTTAAAATTTTTTTATGAAAACAATGAGCAAGAATTAACTCCTCTTGGTCCATTGTAGACCAGAACTGTCTTCTGTAATTACAGAAATTAACTTTTTTTTAATCGTTAGATTAAATTTTTAACAATTTGATAATATATGAGTGACCACATTAGCAACAAAGAATTGTTTTAATCACATGTCAAGAAGTTAAAAATTGTTAATCCAACGATTAAAATAACAGTTTCTATCGATAGTTAAAACTGATGAGCGTAAAAAAACTCTTGTATAACTGCACCTAAAAGATTAGCAATATGTGTAAACTTACGCCGTCACACCAACATCGAGTATCTCAGGATGGGAAGCCAACACAGCCTCTAAATCCGCTGGAGCAATCTGCAAATTAAGTGGTTACAATTTAAATAAAAAAGCATTTTTCAAAATTATACGGTGAACAAATATTAATGAAAAAGATTAAAAACACGATAATGGTATTTGACAACACAATTAATATAAGGTGGATTCTTTATAGGGAGAAAGAGAAAAATAAGCCAAGATTTGAGATGAATTAAAATTAATAGGCTAATAGTTTACATAAGTTAATAAATAGGCCAAATTACTGTTTTTGTCCATAACTTGTCTGGTTATGAACCATAACTTGACAAGTTTATCCATAACTTATCTGGTTATGAACCATAACTTGACAAATTATGGCTTATTAATTTTTATAACTAAAAATTGATCTATATATTTTTTAAACTTTTCATATTGGCCTATTTTCTACCATTTCTGTTTTTTATATTTGCCGTTGTGCAATAATAATAATAACAGTAATAATAATAATAATATATAATAATAATAATTTTATACCTGAAAGCCTTTGTATTTGATCATCTCTTTCAATCGATCAACTATATATAAATATCCATTTTGGTCAAAGTAAGCAATATCTCCTGTACGTAGCCACCCATCTTTGTCGATTGAAGACATCGTTGTCGAATCATTATTTAGGTATCCTAGAAACTCAAGAGTAAATGTAAGTCAAAAATCTACTTTAATTCGGAAGTACAATTTTGATAAAATAATGCTAGCTAGGTTATATCATGACTTTCATCTCAACATATGAATTGTCATTTTTTTATACGTTGGTATTTAGAAAATCATCACATCAATTAATGATAAAAAGTTGTGTAGGCTAATGGAAAGATAAAATTCATTCTAGCTCTAATTATTTCTTAATTTCTACTATCAAGTTTTTCCAAACTACAAATTAGGTATATTTTGGATTTAAAAAATTTATTTTAATTCCCTTTCGACCTAAATAAGGATATATATATATATATTTTATCTTTTCTCTTGTTTTTCGTTTATAAAGTGTGTGGGGATAAAATTGAAACAAGTTTTTTCACATCGAAAGGATACCTTTATACTTTCTAATAATAAAAAGATAATTATAAAAAGAAGGTTAAAAGTAAGAGGTACATTTATGTAATGACCCTTTTGTTTTTTAAAGGAGTGCCCCTGTTACGCAAGACGAGGAAGTTTTAAGCTTTTTTAAAAAGATAATTTATGTACCCCTTTTGTCGCAGAAAGGAATAATGGAATATCCCCTTATTATTTAGGATCTTATTTGATACACATATCAGTAAGTTAAATTTTCTAACTGTTAGATTTGTATAAAATCACGTAAAAATAAAAAATACGCAAATCTAACGGTTAAAAAAACTGACTTACCGATACATCAGGCGTACCAGAGAATTTCTTTTATTATTTTTAGCTTTTATTTTTTTTTTTAGAATCTTATTATTTTGAAGCTTCAAGAATATTACGTGAAACGAGGAAAATTTTATTACCTTTCATAACTCCTGGTCCTCTTAACCAAAGTTCACCACTGTTGCCAGGGGGCAACAAGGATCCAGTTTTCCAATCCACCACTTTGGCTTGTGTGTTTGGTGCCAAAAGTCCTGCCGAAGAATAATCCCTGCAGTTTTTCGTATTGAAGCCACGGGTTCCTATTGCGGTCGATTCAGTCATGCCATACCCCTTAAAAAAAAAAAATTGTTATTCCATAATTTTTCACAAGTCTAATGTGACATTCTACGTAAACTATTTAAAAATTCTAAACTTAAATTGAGCTGGATAAGTTGAGCCTAATACTTTGAGCTCAGTATCCTGAGCTTGGTACCTCAATGATGTCCTCAAGGAGGTAAGTAAGAAGAGGTACCTCAAGGAGGTAAGTGAGAAGGAGTACCTCAGGGAGGTAAGTAAGGAGGTCCTCAGGGAGGTAAATCTTTTTTTTTAATACAAGCTAGCTTTTCTCATGATAGAGATTAAAGGCCCGTTCATTTCACTGACTCGAATTTTGCTACAGTAAAAAGCTCTCAGAAACAGTCACATTTAATTTTTTTACTACAGTAAAAAGTTCTCACAAAAAGTCATATCTTAACTCAAATTAAAAATTTGAATCAGTGAACTAAACGGGTCCTAAGATTTCTTGCTTATCTCACCCCATCTTTACCAACTAGACTAACACCTGTTGGCTTTTATATCATAGTACTGTTTGAGACTTATAGAAATCATACTTTATATTTTATCTTTTAAAGATTTCGAAAAAGATTTAAATTTGGCTATGTGTGTGTATATACATATTGCCAAAACGTGAGGATTCTTTTTCTTTTTCTTTTTCTTTTTCTTTTTTTTTTTAGCGAATAAGTTAAGCTAATTGATATATGTGCATAATAAATAATAAAAAATGTTGAAGATCTCAATCCTTTCGTATCTGAATGAACCGAATATTAATATAATGAAAACTCGTCCATATATGGAAAGAAAAGAATCTTTTCTAGGTTATGGTGGACTGTATATTGCTTGAAGAAAAATAATATTCCTTGTAAATTGTACCGAATATGCATGTGTATATGGGTGGCATCATTCTAGGTTATGGAGAAATAAAAGTTGCTTTGAAAACATAAATAAATAAATAATATTCCCTTGTAAATTGTACCTGAATGAAATCAACGTGAGGAAAAACCTGGACAAGTTCTTCAATCATCTTCCTACTTGGAGGAGCAGCCCCAGATGAAACCTGCTTCAAGCTTCGAAAGCTTTTCCCACCATTGTTTTTGGCAGCCTTTGTCAAGGCCGTTAATATCGGCGGAACAGCAGCAATGTGTGTAACTCTATATTTTTCTACGGCCCTCGCCACCTCATTCATGTCAAATTTTCTCATCACAACGACGGTGGAACCAAGAGAAAACAACCCCATTGCGAAGTAGGCGAGGCCGTAAACATGGAACATCGGCAGAACCGCTAAATAAACGATCTCCGAGCTCGGATAGTCGTATTGCGAGGCCTCAAACCGCACAAAAAGCTCGATCATGGCTATAAAATTTCCATGACTCAATACGACGCCTTTGCTCAAACCCGTGGTTCCAGAAGAATACATTATTGCCGCCGTATCTTCTTGCATAATTAATGGCCTCGAAGCCAAGTTATAGTCACTAGAAATAAGCTTTGAAAAGTCCAAAAAATCACCAAGGCTCACATTTTGATCAGGCACTCCAATTGCAGCAACACCAAGTTTCCGAAAGATGTCCACTTTCTCAGGGACAGTGAAGGCAAGACAAGGCTTGCAATCGGCGACGCGTTTCTCGATTTCCGTGACGCTGCTTAGAGGATTCATGGGAGTGAAAATGGCTCCCGAGTGCAACACTCCCAAAAGAACGACAGGAAAGTAAATGGAGTTCGGAAGCATAACCAGAACGACGTCGCCTTTCGTGACGCCCGTCGAATGGAGGCCGGAGGCCATGGATTTGACCGAAGAGTAGAGCTCCGAGTAAGGTATTGAAACCCCGGATGAGGCATCGATAAGGGCTGAGACCCCTTTGTGTTGGCATGAGAAAAGGAAGGAAACGACATCAAGAAATGTGTCTGAAGGCAGGTTTCTCGGTGGATGTGTGCTATTGTAGATCCCGGTTTCCGGTGAATACCAATTGGGATATTCATATTTGTTGGGATCATCTATGTTTTCGCTGTTTAAGGTAGACATTGTAGTATGAGAAAGGATACAGAAGAGGTTGAATGGTATTATAGGAGATGATCAGAAAATTAGGCTCTTATGAATGTTGGACAAGCCAGCGTTTAGTAATTGGTCTTTGCTTTGTAATAACATTTAATAGTAGAAGAGTAATAATCCCACAAAATGGACTAGTGGAGGGTAAATAATGTGCGGAGGAATTATTCAGTACACTGGATGTACCACGTCATATTGTTTATGTGGTACATCCGTTTAATGAGATTGTACCATTTAGATATTTTATCTATATCAGTTTTTCACTAAATGGTACATTTTGTTTATGTCAGCTTTTCATTTTATAAATGTGAAAAGCTAACATAGACAAAATGTTTAAGTTGTATAATCTCATTAGACAGGTGTACCAATAGCACAATCTCATTGGACATGTATACCACATAAATAAAATGACATGATACACTCAGTGTACTAAATAATTCCTCATAATGTGCGATAGCCTACGTGCCCACGCTAGTAGAGTGTTCGAGATATGAGAGGTGAAACACGTTTTAAATTAACGTGTGTGTCAATTTATGTTTTGGCTTTTTGCTTCAATTATTATTGTAAAAGGTATCGAAACCCTTGAAACCCTAGACGAGGCATCAATGAGGGCTGAAACTCCTTTTGTGCTGGCTTCACGAGCATTTTTATTTTTCTATCTCGTGGCACGTGTCAAACTTTGATAGGCTAAAACGCTTCTTTTTAACTTATTTTTAATAACAACCGGAGTCCGCAAACAAATGCCAACTTGAAACAGCACGTTTTGAATAGAAATGAAGTTATATACGAGAGCTTTTTAATTTGCTGATTTGAGTTTTTAATTTGAGTTGAGATGTGACTTTATATGAGAGCTTTTTACTGTAGTAAAAAATTAAATGTGATTATTTTTAAGAGCTTTTTACTGTAACAAACTTAAATTTTAAATTTAAATCGGTGAAATGAACGGAGCCATAATAATAAAAATGAAGGATACAACATCGAGAAATGTGTCTAGGGGACCAGGGAGGGAGGGTTTAGATTCCTATTTCCGGTGAATAGCAATGAGGGTATACGTTCAATATAATTTTGTTGTTTATGATAGACATAGTAGTGAGAAGGATCATTATACACTCGCTGGTCACCTTTTATCAAAAAGTACTAACTTATTTCTCTTTTTCAAACACCAATCAATCTCTGGTGATATATCACTAAAAAAATAAAAAAAAAATAAAAAACTAAAATGTTAGTCACATCTTTTTCTAGCACTTTTTGTGACGACAATTTTCTGTGACTAAATGTACTTTTAGTCACATCATTCTAACTAATAATATGCATTTAGTCAAAAATTTTGTATTGCGAATAAAGCTTTTTGCTACAGACTTTTTAGCTACGGAAGCTTTTCATTGTAACTAAAACTTTTTTCCATGACTAAAAACCCCGCGGCTAAAAGTTTTAGTACACTAAAAATTGTGACTAAATGCATATTAATCATAAGGTTGTGACTAAAAATTACATGTATCACATAAAAAAGTTGTGACTAAAAGTATTACAAGAAATTGTAGTGACTAAAAGTTCATTTTTTTTTGGGTAGTAATTATAGTCCAACGAGAAAAAACTAATAACCTAGGTTCAACCACACTCACATTAGCATTCTAAAGCTAGCATTCTCCACATAGGGCCTGTTTGGGAGAGCTTTCTAAAAGCTGTTTTGGCTTTCTAGGTCTAAAAGCTGCTTTTAAAAGTATTTAGATGATCTATCAGAAATGTTTTTAACTTCTACAAAAAATACTTTTGAATAGACTTTAAAACTTGTACTAGAGTTTTATTAATACATTATGAATTTCATTCAAACACTTTTATTGCTTGTTAGAAAAATTAAAAATCATTGTGACCCATTAAGCTCTTGTTTTTAAACATTTACTAAAAAGTTATAGCTTTTGTTTTTCTTCTTCTACTACTAACTATAAGCAAAAGTAAAAACTCTATCAAACGGCCCATAATCAAAAGGGAAACTCGTCAACAACTCACAAACTAGCAATTGCGTATTATTTTTTCTCCCTACCATTTGGGTACGTATTTAATGCATTGGTCATCCAAATGCATCGCCACTGTTGATGTCCCTTTTTTGTTCCATGCATAATCTTTAGCCCAATAATTGCATGTAGCTCTAGGACTTCTTGAATTTTTCCGACATTCTAACGTTTGGAAGGAGAATTCGTGTCATGATTTGAATCATGATTCGTGATTTGTTACAGTATATTATCTCATAAAAAATATACGTAAAATAAGAATAATTCTGAATCATAATTCTAAATCTATGAACCAAACGTCTCCTCCACTGATTAAAACTTAGATGGATCCCTAGTGGGTTTCCGTTTTGTTGCAGTTTTCTTCTCCTAATTAAAATGTTGTCGTAGACTCGTAATTGATGGATCCACTGATTTATTTATATATTCTTGATCACATGGTTATTTTTCTTATTGATTTGACTTAGGATCTGCAGTCACCACACCATCTTGACTAGTACTTAAAACAAAAAAGGTTCACCTGATTCATTTCCAGAAGGATCAGCAGACCTAGTAATTGCATTTAATATAAATTATAAATAAATAAAAAAGAAAAATTATATTATTACAACAAATTATAAAAGACAAATTTAAAGCTGAACCTTGAGATACGCATTATATTTGAATCATTTTAGAAAGATTAAGCCGTTCAGTTTACTTATTTGAGTTTAAAATTTGAGTTTTGTTACAGTAAAAAGTTTTTAGAAACAGTCACATCTAATTTTTTTGTTACAGTAAAAAATTCTCACATAAAATCACATCTCAACTCGAATTACAAACTCGAATCAGCAAAGTGAACGGGCCCGTAATCACATGGTGATATTTATATTTGTTGTGATCATCCATGGTTTGGCTGTTTTAGGATTCAGAAGACGTTATAGGAGATGATCAGAAAAGGCTATTATGAAAGTTTGAAAAATAAGGAGACGTTTAGTTTATTAATTAGAATCATGTGATTAGAATTATTTTTAATTTACGTATATTTTTTTTGAAAAAAAATATTATAACAAGCTCATAATTTAAATTCTCTAACCAAACATCTCATAAAAAAGCTAATTAATAGCCAGGGTTTAATTTGGTTGTTGCTTTGTAATTTTCAAAAGAAAACCAAACTAAGAGAGGAAATAGTACAAGAGTAATAACCCCACAAAACGGGACCATCGGAGGGTCAATAATTTATGCGCTGTCCTGGCCGTGTGTGTCAGTTTTTGTTTTGGCATTTTGCTTCCATTATTATTCTGTGTTGGCTTCACGAGCAGTACTTCTATTTGTCATATGTCAGACTTTAATTTGATAGGTTAAAGACATATTTTTTTTTAATATTTTTCATAAAAATTAGAGTCCGTATAGACATTATACAATAAGGAAAGTAGAGATTTCACTGTTTATACCGTTACAGTGTAATAAACAAACAGTGTCTTTCTTGTTTTATATTTTGTTATTCCTTCATTTGATTTTTTATTTTCCGGTTTTACCCTCTTGATTATGTAAGTCTCGTTCATTTTATCGATTTGAGTTTTTAATTTTAGATTTTTACAGTAAAAAATTCTCAAAAAATATCACATTTAATTTTTTTTATTATAATAAAAAATTCTTAAAAAATATTATATTTTAATTTAAATTAAAAATTCGAATGAAATGATGCCACCACGTGTTGATTCAATATCTTGATCTTGAAGATGGTCCAAAACACACGTGTCTATTGTTTGCCCCTCTCTCTCTTGCTTGCCTTTCTAGCTGCTGACGTGGGTCCAATATTATTCCCAAGCTCGGTAAGTGCCTATCTTCTTATGTGGTCCATTTGTTTCTTATGTGGTCCCAAACTCAGGTGGGTCCAATACAAAATAGAGAGAGAATAGAACAATGATTATGCATCAATGGATTATAAAGGCAAGATAGATTTATTAATTTATATCATATATGTCTAAATTTTTTTTTTATTGTTTTAAATACATATTAATTTTTTTTTCATTTCAGTCCTCAACGAATATCATCGTCACAGATATCAGACTCAACCATAATTAATCCACATATGCCAATCATAAAAAGATCAAGCACAAGATAAAACATGTTAAATATAAAAAATAATTTTTATTATTTTAAATACATATTTAAATAATATTCCACAATATCAACTCTGAATTAAAAGTAACGGAACATTTTAAAAAACGTATAAGGACAAAGTAATATATTTTTTCCTATATCATTTAATTTACACTATGTATGATAAAAGTTTGTCAATTTCTTTAAAAATTTTATTCACTAATTTTTATTTTTTAACATTCCTATCTTGCTTTTAAAAAAAAGTAAGGATTGAAACAACATTAATGTTTTATATTGTATATGTGTATGTATATATGTATGAATATATTTTGAATCACGTATATGTATATATATGTAAATATGTATATAAAAATCTCAAATATTTCATATATTACAACAATAAATTCCGTAGTAACGCGCAGAATATAAGCTCGTGATAACTTAATAAAAGTAAGCTTTGAGTAGGAATAAATTATAGTTCTGTTTATTTTACCGGTTCGAGTTTAAAATTTAAATTTTATTATAGTAAAAAATTTTAAAAAATAATCACATCAAACTTTTTTATTACAGTAAAAAGATCTCACATAAAGTCATATCTCAATTTGAATTAAAAGTTTGAATCAACGAACTAAACGTGCCTTATGTAGATCTAGTTCAGTTCGCGAATTTGAGTTTTCAATTCGAATTGAGATGTGATTTTATGTTAGAGTTTTTTACTGTAACAAAAAAAGTTAAATGTAACTTTTTATGAGAACTTTTAACTGTAACAAAATTAAAATTAAAAAATTAAATTAGTAAAATAAATGATACCGTAATATTTATTTATTTTTTCTAATAAAAGGGACCGGGGAGGTTTATTGGAGGACATGTGCTGTTGTAGATTTCCGTTTGATCCAGTGAAAGGCAATGAGGGTATATGGTATGTATGGTTTTGTAGTTAAACATCAACATGGTAGGGAGAAACGAAAGATCTATGCAAAACGTAACTGTTGCAATAGCTGTTGTAATAATACTAGATTAATTAATTTATAAC